CCCCAAGGCTGCGGCTCTCTCCCCTGCTGCGCGACTCACTCCGGCGCGGCCCTCACAGTGGAGACTGTTCAGATCCTAGCAGGTGCTATCACAGATCCGAATGAAACGGACGGACGCTCCTTCCTCTTCTCAGATGGCACACGGTTCTTACTCCAAGAACCCTGGTGACAGCTTCTGTGATTAGTTTCTGCTCATCGGATTTTCGATGTCTTAACGAACCAACGCTCTGATACCACTTGTTGGGAATAAACGCACGCGGAAACAACACACAATCACGAATCAACTGCAGAAAAATAAACGACACAGGATTTAACGTGGTTCGACCGCCAACTGCAACCTACGTCCACACGGGGCAACTAGGAGGATTTTATTATTTGTTGTTGCACCACAATTACAAGCACATTAGCATCTCTTAAATAGAGAATAATTAGGAGAGCACAATGATTAGGGAAGTTAGAAGCTTCTAGGTAGTTTCCTGCCAATTTCCTGTTAGTTTCCACCTAGCTTCCTGGCTTCACACTCAACAGCTTACCAGTAGCTATACACTGGATATATTCCCTTGTGTGTGATCTGCCAGGGTATGTATGGTGGGGGAATTTAGGGGGCTGTTGTTTTCCTCATATAAGTTTTGTGTAGCATCAACTCTATTAACTTTATCATCATTGGAATCTGAATTGCCGGAACCATTTTTTGTGGAAACTGAGTTCGATTGGCACTGGATGGAATCAAATCCCCTTCCAAATTAGTAAAAGAGTGGGAGGCAACCATCCCATTGGGGCTATTACCATTTATTGCCACTTCTACCTCAAATTCTTTAGAATTTAAATACCTGTCAAACATAGGCTTAGGTATAGCATCAAGAAAAGTAAAATAAAAAAAATCATTTTTAAAATGGAATTTAATGCAGGAGCCTTGGGAATCTGAGAGGAAAGATAGCCATGATTATTAGTAGCATACTCATTCTTATCAGAGTAAACATGAGTTGGCTAAGGACCCTCATGGTTACGAGGAGCCTCTTGTAGAGTTTGGTTAATAATCTCTATAAGAGAAAAGTTCTACCAGTATAGGGAGTAGTATGGGTGATGGCCTCTACTGCAGTAGATAAGTTGGCAATTTCACCCTCCACATCTTGTGGAGACACTATAGAAGTGTTGGCATCCAATGATTCAGTGATAAAGGGGACATCATTTCACCCTCTACATCTTGAGTGCTTCATCTGTCATATTAGGGGGATCTGAGCACGTAGGCTCTTTAGGGGTTAAAGAGCATCTCCCATTAGCATTTGTAAGAGCAGTGGTATTAAAAGGTGTTACCATAACATTCGACAATTGAGAGATTGGATATTTAATTTGCCCAAAAAGCCTCTTTCTTTACCATCATTTTGCTTGAAAATTAGATGATCCTTTTCTTGGGGGCAATCTTGGGTGTGGCTTCTCTTGGACCAATTGTTGACTTCTTGGATTGGGCAATCTTGGATGTGGCACCCTAGGTCGCAATGGCCGAAAGGTCAAATACTTTTGTGGTTAGCTCTTGGACGAATCCCATCAACCATGCATTATTGTTTCTTTCTCACCAAGAAAGGTATAATTCTAACAATAACTTATAATTGTCATAAGGGATATTAAGTGGAAACGACATTTGGACTTGTGTTTTTTCCTAGTGGGTGCTATTTGTGATTGCTCTACTGATCTTGTTGGGTGACTGATAACCCCTAGATTTTAGTAATTGTTATTACATTGAGGTAACATTAGTTTGAGTCTAATCATACATTTCTACTAAATTACGATCTTTGATTCAAAAGTAGAATCTCAGATACTTTTCTAGGATTTTCACTTAAGTCCAGATGTAACCAGTTATATACGTCAAAAATAGGAGCATAAATTACAATGATGCTCTTGGAGGCTGAAACAGAGATTACATGATTTAGTAGGAGAGCCATACTAGACCTTTAATTTTAAGTAATATTGGTCTTTAATATTTTGCTATTTTGTTTCCCTTAAATTGGTACTCTTTGTCTCAATTTAAATTTTCTGTTGTTTACAATACTAGACTGTAAAGAACTTTCAATTCAATTTATTTAAAAATTAGTTTCAAATTAAAGATAAACAATATTAATTACTAAGTATTATGTTTTGTCCTATGCTACATATCAATTTTTTACTCTAAAAATAATATTTATATTGTGCATAATTCGAAACAATATTCTTACTATGCATCGCATTGGTTAAAATCTAGTAATTATAATGAATAATATTTAAAGATCTCTTTTGCCTAACTTTTCTTATTGAAAATAAAAAGACTTGGGTGTGTTTGGTGAGCAAATAAGATATGGATTTTGATATCTCCCGACATCAAAATCCTTTTTTAGTGTTTGGTGAAGCCAAAAGAGATCGAATTCGATATCTTCAGATATTACAAATCTTCAAAATGGAGGGTTTCGATATGTCACGAATTTAAGAGATATCAATATGAGAGTTTGAAATCTCTCCCAACCACCCACATTATCGATGACCCCCGCTTATCACTAGTTAAATCACGTTTATAAATTTCTTCAAACAAATTCGTTTGTGATTTCAAAACTCATATCATTTCTCCGAGATTTCATAACTCATATCTTATCATATTTCCAAACTTCACCAAGCGTGCCATCTGCTCTTTTGAGTGCTAATTCTTAACATCCAACATTTTCAAACTCCTAGTTTCTTCCAATATCTTCAAGTTTCTTCTAAATTATTCTAGATTATTCCACTCTCTTCCAATTTCTTCCAATTTTTTCTAGTTTCTTCCAACTTCTTCTAGTTTTTTCTAACTCCTTCCAATTTCTTCCAACTCCCTCCAGTTTCTTCCAACTCCTTCTTGTTTCTTAAACTCCTAGTTTTTCTAACTTCTTCCAGTTTCTTCCAACTCCTTTCAGTTTCTTCCGACAATAACTTAAAACATTAATTTTTTTTATTTTCATATATTATTATTATTATTATTATTATCTCAATAAAATAAAAAATGATTTACTGTTACAATTTATTAAATAATTGCGTCTTAGTTATAAATTTTAGTTAGATCAATTATTAATCTCTAAAATTAATTAATTTATAATTTCCTTGTTATTTTGAAATTTTGCTATGTTTCTTTGAAATGTGTTCTAGTCAATGTTTTAAAATTTTGACCAAATTAGTTATGCACCCTATTTTCTTTCATTAACCATTACATAATTTTTAAATGTTCATAAACTATTAATTTTCATAATGTGCCTATTCTAAGCATATGCAAAAAATAAATAAATGTCCATACATCAATTTAATACACGAAGAAATAATTGTGTAAAATTAATATAATTTTTCTTTCAACAACGATTAATAAAAAGTATTACTTCATTTATCTTCTTATTTTTGTTACATGGACTAGTGACATACAATTGAAAACACAAAAAATTATATGATTGATAGTAAATTTTAAAAGTAAGGAGTGTGAGTCATAAAAAATTACATATATGATTTAAAATACAATATAATATGGAGTATCATAAACGAAAATAAAAAGAGATTAAAAATATAAAAAGTAGAGTATACATTTTTTTTAAAAAATATGAAATTTATAAAACAAAATAATTATTTTAACATTTTTTAGGTCCCGTTTGATACACGGAATTCAAACTATAGAATTGGAATTGAAGATTTCAATTCCAATTTTGGTGTTTGGTAGCACAAAAATTATGTGGATTTGGAATTGATAGTGTAAAAAATGAATTGGAATTGGTAGAATTCAAATCTATGGAATTTCAATTCCATTTCAATTCCAATTCCGTCAGTTCCGTATACCAAACGGGCCCTTAGGGTTCGTTTGGTATACGGAATTGATGGAATTGGATTTTTGAAATTCCATGAGATTCAATTCCACAGAATTGAATTCACCAATTCCAATTCATTTTTGCACTATTAATTCTAAATCCACATAATTTCTGTGCTACCAAAAACTAGTATTGGAATTGAAGTCTTTAATTCCAATCTCATAGTTTGAATTTCGCGTACCAAACGAGGCCTTATAGTTTTAAAATCTTATAAAAAAATTGTAACTCTTCCCAATTTCTTTCAATTCTTTCAAGTTTTTCTTACTTCTTCGTGTTGTTTTTAACTTTTTCAAGTTTTTCCTACTAAGTTACTCCCCCGTCCCAAAATATTCACAACATTTTCTTTTTCAGCTGTCGCGGAAACTTTTGTTTATTTTTACGTTTTCATTGGTTATTTGATAAAATAAAATATTTTTGGCACCTCTTATTTTGAAGAACTTTTCATGTAGTTTTTTGATATGTAATTCTTATTTTTTATTTCTTTACCAATATGTAAATAAAATGAATTAAAAAAAGTTGATATTTTGCCTCGATAATAGAAATGTGACAAATAATTTGGGACGGAGGGAGTATTTTATCCAAACACGGGAGAGGTATCTTTTTCAACATCAAACCCTATGCCTTACCAAGTTATTTTATCAAAACATGGGTGAGGTATCTTTTTCAATACAATAATTTGTAGGACCATACTAGGGTGCCACCACATGGGTGCACCCATTGGTCCCATGTGGTGCACCCATTTGTATGGCACGTTTAGAAGGAGGTGAAAAACTCTTTGAAGTTGAAAAGCACGTGCAAGCGTGCGACTCTGTGTAGCCACACTCAGATAATAAGAGCATCCATCCCCTACCCCTTTCCCCTTCCCCCCTGAAAGTCTCTAACAGCTATGGCGATTCTCCCAGTTCCCTCAGCTACGTTCTGTACTTCAACTGCCGCTACTGTTATTCCTAGGAATTCACATGCCTTTCCTTCTAACTCTCCGGCTGCTCTTTCTTGTTCATCATCAACGGCCCAGTCTATTGCCGCGAAGCACTGCCGGAGAATCCGCTTAGCCATCTTCTGCGCGCAGAGGGCCAGTGGTATGAATGAAATGTTGAAGGAGGATAAGGCATCTAGTTCCGATTCGGCTGCTTCTACCTCTGCCGTATCCCCTGCCGGAAACCACGAACTTCTCACATTCTTTGGTGCTCGGACGGAAGAAGGTATGCCGTAATCTGCTTCCAATTCCACCATATTTTCGTTTTCCTATAACGTCTTGAATGCTGTATCACTATAATTAACAACTATGCCCTACGCTCATATCCTATTATGCACTTTTATGCACGAGTTAACTTATTGGTAGTCCTTGTTTCTATTTCTGTTTTGTTGTTATACTCCTTATCTTTCATTTCCACTGTTCAGCCTAGAAAAGAAAAGGATTCATGATTTGTAGAAAGCTATGTTGCATGAATTCTTCAAACAAGCATCTCTTCCGGTTCCCATAGCATCCTCAATGGACACCCAATTCTTTGTAAAACTTGAAAAGGTCAATGATTCCTGTTCCCGACCCTGTCCTCATATGAGTACCCATGCTTGTCTCGGTTCAATTCAGGTAGAAAGTGAATAGACTTCTTTGTCATTTATGAATGAGCGCTTGGTTATACTTGAATAATAGGTATTTAGCTCATCACATTCTTTGTTGAAACTCTTGTATTTGATCAAGTATTCTATTTATAGAGGTTACCTTAAGAGGATGTCATGAGGGATTACTTTTCTTAATATGCCATCTTCGTGAATAGTCTGGGACCAGAAGTGGAATTATCAGTTCTAATTTTTTTGTAGATAAGAATGAAGGAATATAGTAATATACTTCCTCCGTTCTAAAATAGATGTCACAGTCAATTTCTTACACTATTCACACACTATCATTTGACCTTCCTTCGTGATCAATACGTAAGGTAAATTTAGTCATATGTGATCTTATTTGAGTCGTCTCGATATACACTATCATAATGTCTTATTAAGAAAAAACTATCATAATATCATTTGTTTAAAATATTTTTTACTAAAACATACAGAGTGATTGAACATATTAATGATTTAATTCGCACTTGCAAGTGTGAAAATTCTAATGTTACAACAACTTTAGAAGAAAGGAAGTACAATAGAATCATTCATCATAATTTCATAATTTAAAGATTTATCTTACTGCTACTAGTAGATATATGATTTTTTATCTTATCTTTCCTTCTGTACTGTTGTTTAGTAATTAGAGAAATTATGAATTTAAAGATTTGACATGTATATAATCACTAGAAAAATATGGGAGAAGATAATGGGGGGTCGGGGGGGATATGAATCAGTGAGTTTTTAAAGGAGTCACAAAGTAAAGTTGGCCATGTCGACACATTTTGGATAGTTTCAATCCATTGATGTGAATTTCCTTTTTAATTCGGTGCCATGACTTGTCAGCTGTCTTGCATGTAAACAACGTGTCCGTAGAACAAACACTTCAAACGAACGTTAGGTACATAGAACAATGGTGGCCCACATATAGCTGTAAAAGCATAAACCTTCTCTTTCTGGATTTGTCCTTAATGAGAGGGGTCTTGATCATTAAATGTTCTTATGAGCCACATGGAACGAATCATGATGTCATGAATTGCATGTAGACTTTCATAAATACTTACATGCAACCGTCAAAATAATGTGTATCCATGGAAGATTATTATACTTGTTCCATCCCATAAAATTCTTTACGTTTTCTTTTTTTGGACATCCAAGAAAAACATTACACTTACTATATTCCTTATTTTGGTAATGAATATGTGGCTACTAACAATTCTCTCTCCTCTTAATGAATGCTAACCACAAACATTTTACTTTTCAACAATTATCTTAAACTTTGTGAAGTCAAACTGGGACGGAGGGAGTATATGAAAGGGAGCGCAAAGAACAATGGGTGAAGAACAACGGATTGAGTGATAATAGAAATATGATAGGTTTTTATATTCAATTACTTTGGTTTTGGCTTAGATAACTATTGAGCCTAGCTTGTTTTTCTAAAGAAAGTATATTCATCTAGCCTTCTTCTTTGTGCCAAATTTCAAGCTCGTGTGTGTGGGGGGGATATAAATTAGTGAGTTTGTAAAGGAGTCACAAAGTAAAGTTGGCCTTGTCGATGCATTTTGGATAGTGTCAATCCATTCGATGTGAATTTCCTTTTTAATTCGGTGCCATGACTTGTCAACTTCCTTGCATGTAAACAACGTGTCCGTAGAACAAACACTTGAAACGAATGTTAGGTACATAGAACAATAGTAGCCCACAGACAGCTGTAAAAGCATAAACCTTTTCTTTCAGGATTTGTCCTTAATGAAAGGGAACTTGATCATTAAATGTTCTCATCAAAATAATGTGTATTCATGGAAGACTAATATACTCGTTCTATCACATAAAATTCTTTACACTTTCTTTGTTTGGACATCAAAAAAAACATAACACTTACTATATTCCCTATTTTGGTAATGGATATGTGGCTACTAACAATTCTCTCTCCTCTAAACGAATGCTAACCGCAAACTTTTTACTTCTCAACAATTTTCTTAAACTTTGTGAAGTTATGCGACGGAGGGAGTATATGACAGGGAGCGCGAAGAACAATGGACTGAGTGATAATAGTAATATGATATGTTTTTTTATCCCATGACTTTGGTTTTGGCTTAGCTAGTTAGATAACTATTGAGCCTAGCTTGTTTTTCTAAAGAAAGTGTATTCAACTAGGCTTTTTGTTTGTGCCAAATTTTAAGCTCGTGTAATATGTCAAAGCTCTAAACAAAAATGTTAAATAATTCCAATATTTTTATATATTTACCATGCATATTGTTAGAATGAAAAACGTAAAAGTATTTATTCATAATAGGCAAAAATTGTTTCAATGAACATATGCTTCAATGCAATCATATACTTGATTGAGGTTCCATATTCATGCTAAGTAACTAGCTTGTAGTCTAACTTTGCTTAGATTTAAAGGTATTTCTACTGTATGTATGATTTTATTGTAGCTTGTATTTTTCCACAGAAACAATTTAAAAGTAATTTAAAGTAATCATTCAAATTTTATTCTTAATTGTCCACAAAGTAATTTATAGCAATCTATTATTTATCTGGTTAAGTTATATTATGATTTGCTCTTTTAACCAAACCATTTCAACCTTCAATTTTTTTAATTACAGAGCCTATAGTGGATTGGTGTTGGTTTGTTGAATCACATGGCCTTTGAGCATCTTTTGTACAAACTCCGACATTGACACATTGTGTTTGAACTTGTCTTTTATCCAGTAAGCCCAAAAATGGTGTGTGTGTCTTGCTTGCTTTGTTGCCAAAATTGCCTGTTGACAAACTTGTATTGTTTTGTGATAGTTTGGTCTCTTAGGGAGTAGGAACATGATATGTTTGTAGATGGAATGACATGTACCTTGATTTTATTGATGGTGAGTCATGCATTGTTTTAGGATGGAAGCATTGTTGTCAAGTCATCGCCTAGTCGACGACTTGTCATCCAGGCGTTTTTTGAATGGCGACTTGCTCGTGGACTGGCGACTAGGGTAGACTAGGCGACTGGGCAAATTAAGCGACGCCTAGGCGCGCCTAGGCAATGACTAATCTGTGAAGAAAAGCTGCCCAGTCTGAACCAACCCAATTTGACCCAACCCGACCCAAATTTCATTAAACTTTAAAAATTACTCAATAAAACACAGCCTCCCTCGATCAGTTCAATCCGCACAATCAAAATCCAGTGAATTGACATTTAACTATTCCCAAATCGCGACATCTCCTTCATCGACATCTTCTTGAGTTTGCAGTTCCAGAATCAATTTTTTGGAATTGATTCTTATTCTTCTTCTAGTACTTACACGCTCTCTATCCATAAGTAACATCTCTCAATCTTTAATTATTTATCATTAAAGTATACTCTTAATTTGGTTTAATTTTCTTTAATTTGGTTCATTAGACAATTCAAGTATATTATACTCTTAAGTTTTCAGTTCTGTTATTTTTTTAGTGACTTTATGTTCTACCTTTAAACATAATTTTATTTTGGTAATGATATTTTGTCATATAAATATATATAGTTATCTTGGGTGAATGAAGATATATATATATATATATATATAATGTTAAAAATTTCAATACTAATTGTGATTTGTCGACTAGTCTACGACTAGTAGGCCGACTAGTCGACTAGTCCACTAGTCTCCCCTTCACCGACTCGACTCGAATTGTCGACTTCACAACCATGGATGGAAGTCAATAGATCGCACGTCCTGAACAATTTTTTCCCTAGTACTCTACCATATACTTTTTACCAAAATAATGTTTCAGATCTCAAGTCTTAACAAACTAGGCTCATCCATTCTTCATTGTTTTAATTGCTATGAGCTGTTAATCGGTTTTTGCATTAGGAATTAAGAAGTTCTGCACTTGGGCTCGTATATTCATTAAGTGAACCATAATTCTCTAAATTGAGAATGAATAAAAAACACATCAAACTTCCATTGCTTCTTGTTATATATGAAGCTTTGGACAGTAAATGCAACAATGCATCTAAGGTCTAACAGAAACAACCCCTTTGATTCTACATTGGTAAGACTGCATATGTCTTGACCCCCAGAGTCCAACAGAGTTAATTATACTAGGTTGTTGTTGTTGTATTTAGAATTAGAAATGGTTGGGAGGTAATGTCCATAAATAGAATTATTTATTTTATCTTATTTAGAAATCTTAATTCACCATTCATCATTTATGAAGAGTGTTTTGTAAAAGACTGACATGCTCTCCCTTGGCACTTCACTGTTTTGATGGATATATCCTATCTACTGACAGTAAAGGAAAACAGAGATTGTGCTGCCTTATTTTGAAGATCTCAACACGCGTAATAATGTGTTGTTCTCATATTTGCTGTGGAATATGAATTGTTTACTTTCTTTTCCTCTTTAAGAATTGCATCACTTTTGCTGTAAAATGTCTTCTCCACTTTTTAGCCTCTTTAGCTTTTACTTAAATGTCGTTGTTGGATGCTAGGATTTTCCTGTGATAAATAGCATTTATCCACACACAAGATTTCTATTACCTCTAAATAATTGATTGATTGCTTTTGTAGTATACGGGTATAATGTAATGACATTCAAAAGCAAACATGGGATTGATAGAGATGACCAGTTGCTAATTTTATTAATCTCTTAATATATGTACTACTATAGCCTATTCAATTGCTTGTTTTTTGTATCTTATGTCTTATGTAAGGAATAAATGCATTCAAGTTAAAGATCACTCCATTATACTCGTATTTTCTTTATTCTTTGTTTTGCAGACCTACTTTCTGGTGTCCGGAGGGAAGCCGTTGACGGAGGCCTTCCACAGAGTGTTGCTCGGGGAATGGAAGAACTTTATGAAAATTATCGAAATGCAGTAAATTAACTGTCTTCTGCTCATAGTGCACTCACTGCACTGTACATTTTCTTGGATGCACTTTACTACTTCACATCAATTAGTGTAGGTTGAATAATTTGACATCATACCACGCTCTTATAGAGTTATGAGTCTTATGACAAAAATGGTTGGTGGCATTAATTGATTCTCGTAATTTTATAGATGCATTTTTTCTTGTTGAAGTAGCATACCGAGAAAAGTAAAAGCATAATGATGCAGTTGTTGCCAACTCGCCACAGCATTGTGCTTCTCCTTATTTCTTATAGAGTGATACCACTACATTTAGCGACCACTCCTTCGACATCTTTCTTCTGCTTAATCCAATAACTCTGCTGATCCTTTCTTTGAAAGTTGTTGTCATTCCCTTCAAAAATTCTCATAAGATTCTTGGTTTGCCCTCCTTTGCACCAGCTATTGTCTTATTACCTGTGTCTAGCCATCAAACACAAGTAGGCGGTTAATTTGAGTGAAATGGACCCCACTCCTGACTGTGATCATAAACTCCTCACTCTTCTTAAGTTAGAGTTTGAAACCAACTCATGTACGAAGTATTATAAATGTATATGTAAACTGTATAAAACACTCTCCCATGCCTATTATTTTCATTTTTTGAATTTGAAAGCAAGAGCAACAACATGATGTTGCTAACAAGAGACTTTGTTCTCTCTCCCAGCTGCATAACTAATGTTATTGTCTCTTGTGTTATCCAATATTCACATTTGTGTTGAAAAAGTACAATCAAGACACTGACATTAATTTTTAATGTATGATTGATTGTAAAGTTGACATTTTTCCTTGTGGAGTTTTGTCCATAATTTTTATGAATCTTAATTATTACATTATGTATACACACATTACAACTTCATGAAATAGAATGTTCCACTTGTCATTATTCGACTAAAGTATTTTCCATTCTTGGTCGTTTTTAGAACTGACCAATTTTGATATTTGACTAATGACTACTAAAAGTTTCCAATTAGCTTCTCGTTAGGGTATTGTTTATCTGATCAACTTGCGTGATATATGTGTAAATGCATTCACTTAGGACAAAGTTTGGAAACTGTTTATTTGTCGTAATATCATAACTTCGTAATTGCTCAATCTTAAAAGATGATGAAAATATGATATTGTAGGACTTAGAGTGGAAATACCCGTGTGTGAAATGTTGTGGCTATAGCTATAAATGCAAAAGGTTGAAACTTGTCCTGATTATTCACATCTTGTTGGGGAAAATAGTCTAGTTTGAGAGTAGCACCTTCTATCTGACTCTGAGAAACAACACGTTTATGCATGCTTATTGGCTGATTCATTTTTATGTCATTTGTGGGATGTGGTGATCAGGTGCTTAGTAGGAATAATTGGATATGTTAAATCTCAAGTACTTAGATTTATATATATTTTATTAGGTTTTCCAAAGTGGGGTTCCTAAAGCAGAAGAGATTGTCTTATCCAACATGGCGACTGTGTTCGACCGCATTATCTTGGATGTGAAGGTAGTCATAGTTTTGTTATGTTACTGCAACTTTAAATGTCAAAGTGCCAGGGCATATATGCCATTCCAAACACCCACTATCCATATTTTACAATATCTTTCAGGATCCATTTGAATTCTCACCTCATCACAGAGCCATTCGAGAACCATTTGACTACTACATGTTTGTTCAAAATTATATCCGTCCTTTGATTGACTTCAGGTAGGACTTTCTTTTAGGGTCTGTTTGGAAAGGAAGAAAATGACTTCTAGAAAAGGAGTTATATTCCAGAAGTTATTTCCTTTTTTGTGTGTTTCATTGAAAGTATGAGAATTGTCTATTTCTGTTTGGTTCTTTTTTCCAGAGAATGAAAAATTATTTTGAAGCACAAATCAAACCAACAAAATAAAAACCCAGTGAGACAATTTTTACAAAAAAAACCAATTAATCAAGCGTAATCAAAGAGGCACTGATAGACTTTCGACCTTGAGGCAAAACTTTGATCTTCACTCTAGTGACGACGACATAATCAAAGTGTAATCTGATCAAAGCTTAATTTGATTAACCTTGATGCAAAATCCAATAAAAGCATAATCAAAAACATAAAAATCAAACCACATCGAATTCCCAAAACTTGATCTTCATTCTTCACTGTATGGATGATGACGGCCTTTGGGCACTCTCTTGCGGTTGACCTGCCCTGCTGTGACGGCATCCTATTGCAGGAGCTGTGCCATGCAGACCAAGAAATTGTAGAGCCATGGTGAAGGGAAGGGCGGCAGTGAGGAGATGGAAGAGTGAACAAGTGGAGAAGTAAAGGACGGAAACTGACTTCCGAATTTTTTTCCGGAAGTCAAATTCCATATTTGCGGCTGCGTTTTCCATTGAATGGAAGATTGGAAGTTCTTTTTCTGACACCAGTTTTCCATTCCTGCCAAGCCCCAAGAAAATGAAGAAAATGACTTCCAGAAGTCATTTTCCCCCTTTCCAAACGGGCCCTTAATTATTTTTCCCATTTGTTCTTAGTTTCTTTTTTACCCTAATATATACCGATGCTTGGGGTAATTGGATACCATCTCGATCCTCCAATAAAATGCAATTCCCTTTTGCTATGAGATTTCGTGAAATAGATCTAAAAATGCGAGGTTAAATGGAGGACCACCTTAAGCGGGTTAATTCTGGTGTTTTGTCTGTTGTATGAATGGAATTATATTCTGTCCCACTCTCTGTGCCCATTTTATCTTCTTATGTCCTTAAGTGCCAGGTTCCTTGGATTGTTGGATTATATATCATGTGTGAGAACTTAATAAAATTTGACCCTTGCTTGATTATGTTAAATAAGAGGAAAGTAAATCCAGAATAAAATGGTAAAATTATGGGACATTTCCTAATTCTCCTAAAATCTGATACATATAAATCCTGGGAGGTGGAGTTATTTAGGAGACTAGTATGAACAACTACTCCACTTGAGATTTCATGTTTGCAGCTAAACATTTTGTTTTTGGTTTGATATCATTTTTTGTTATCCAGTTGCTTCGATCAATAATTTATTAACATTCTGACCTCTATGCCTAACATACCAGGAGATCTTATGTTGGAAATACATCACTTTTCAATGAAATGGAAGATAAACTTAAGCAGGTGCATTAATTCTGCACCTTTTACTTACTACCTCCGTCCCTGAGTATTTGTCCAGTTTTGACTTTTTTCGGTCAATTGTTTTTAACCTTTGACTTATAATTAAATAAAATATATATTGTATATTAATTAGATAAAATGATATTTTGAAAATTTTTGATACAATAAATCTAATAAAACTATTTTTGTATCAATATCTAAAATCGTTTTTATTTAATTTGAGGTCAAAGTTTACCAATTTTGACCAAAAAAAGTCAAAAGTGGACAAGTACTCAGTGACGGAGGGAGTACAATTTATTTTGTTTTTTTAGTAAAATGTGATTTTACTCTTCCGTGTACAATACCTTTCCCTATATGCAGCAAGCTGTTGTCGTGTCAGTGTTGGCTCATAGAGTTTTTACTTAATGATGAGTGCTAAATTAGTAAATTCAATTAGGGCAACATCCCATTAGCTACCTTATATGATCTTTTTAGTTAATATTGTGTTTGATTCTGATTGGTGGTTAATTTATTTTCTATTATGCTGCTCAAACTCGTATGTAGGTCTTTGTTCTTTATTTGGAACTAAACACTAATTCTTCTCTTCCAAACAAACAAACCATGAGAAGCCTACTTTATATTTCATGATTTCAGGGTGAGAATATCATTTTGATTTCTAATCATCAAACGGAAGCTGATCCAGCAGTTATTGCATTGTTGCTGGAGTCAACACACCCTTATCTTGCTGAAAATATGGTGGTTATAGTCTCCTATTAACTGAGCATATTGCATTAGTAACGAGTAAAATTTAATATTGTTTACTTTACTAAGTTCTATGCATTTTTCTGTAGATATATGTGGCAGGAGATAGAGTCCTTGTTGATCCCCTTTGCAAACCATTTAGTATGGGGAGGTGCACTTTTCATTTGCTCTGATGATGTTTTATTTTTGCAAATGTACATGCTCCAGTAATCACAAATTCACAATATTGATGAGCATCTATATTGTTAGGAATCTCCTGTGTGTGTATTCGAAGAAGCATATGTATGATTTTCCTGAACAGGTTGAAATGAAATTGAAAGCTAACACAAGAAGCTTGAAGGAGATGGCAGTGCTTTTAAGGTACATATGTTCTTGTGTTATTTTTGGAAAACCTGAGAAATCATTAAATTGAGTGTCTTATTCTAGGTTAGGTAAGATCTTTGCCTGCAAATACTCTTTTAGTTGAAGGTTACTCCCTCCATCCAAAAATTATCTTCCCGTTCACTATTCATCACTTCGTTGGCCTATTTTCATTGCCTATTTGATGAAATAATATAATCATGTCACCTCTAGTTTTGTAGATCTTTTGATGTAACTTTTAAATATGTAACTGTATTTTTTAATTCCTCGCCATTTTTCATATAAAATGATTTGAAAATAACTTCAGTCAAACATCGTAATGCGCAACCGATTCGATCCTTGGGTCCGGCTAGGTCGGCGATTGATCGTCGAATCATCATATCGCCAACCAATTCGATCCTGAGAATGGGTCGGGTCATGGGGCCATCGATTGATCTTTTGACAGAGTATGGGCCGGAACTTACAATGCGACTTTGTAACCCTAGCTGACATGCGACTTCAGGACTTAAGGTATACAGACTACATCAGATCTACCTTATATGTTACTCCTTATTTTGTATCATGCTTGTTTCATAATTTATGTACTCGTATTTTATATGGAATATTTTCTAACAAGTTATATTCATTAATTCGTTTATATTCTTTATTTGTATTTGTATTTTTTCTCACAGGTAATATTCTTTCATTTCTTTGTTTATTAAATTTTCAAAAAGTTAAGTACACTATGTTTTTATTATTACTCCGTAAATTTTTTTAATTATATTTTTGATCAATTATTTTGTATCTTAAAAAACTTTTTAATACTATTTACTCCTCCCTCCGTCCTAAAACCATCTTCCTAGTTTGACTTTAAGCCATTTTTAAGGGATTATAAAATTTGGCTTTGACTTCCAATTTTGCCCCCCTCCCCCAACTAAAAAAAACTAAGCTGATTTCGAATAAAAAATGAAGGCAGTCAGGGAAAAAAATAAAACACACAACATTCATTTTATTCTCAAGTACAAGTACAATTTAACATGAAATCAGGATAGCCCCCTTGTAAGCATTTCAAATTCTAAAATGTTTCATCATTAAGCATGAAATTCACTTTGGAGGGGAAAGTTCTAAATGTTTCCCTCCAAAAAAAAAAACTGCACCACTTTCATACTCTATAAATAACCAAACCTTTCTACTTTTAATAACCAACCCTAATCATCTTCTTTGCTTCTCATTCTCTTGGCTTCTCATCCTCAATCTCTTTGCTTCTAATCAATTATGCCTCCCGTGACAGATTCTCATCCTCTCACTCGTTCTTTTATTGTTTCTCCTCCTTCCTCTTTCAACCCAGACAGCCATGAAAACCTGCAAACCGAACATCAGGTAAAGAAGAAAAGGCTTTCCAACTCACAAAGACAAAGAATTGTTGAAACGATTCTACCATATTCAAAAAAAACCTTTGGTCAGTACACAGCTCAGAAAGGCATTATCAACAAGGTTGTTGAGGTACAGACTTAAATGTTTCAAGGACTGTTGGTGACATATGGAGTAGAGTTAGAAAACAATTACTGGAGGGTGTTGCTATTGATGTGAAAAGTAGAGTTGCAATAAATACATGTAGGATAAGAGTGTCTGTAGACATAGAGTCCATTCCAAATATTCCTCTCGCCCAAAGGACAACTATCAGGGCCTTGGCATCTGCTCTTGGTATGTCCAAATACACTATTCATCTTTGTATTAAGAGAGGTTTGCTAAGAAGTCATTCCCATGCAATTAAACCTTTTTAACACATGAAAACATGTTGCATAGATTGCAGTTCTACTTGAATCAATTGCAACCCACTAGCATCCCATGTAACCCCAGTTTTAAAAGTTTTCATAATGTTCTCCACATGGATGGGAAATGTTTTTTCATAAGTCTAAGCACTTCATTACTAAGGTCATGTTCTTATGTGTTGTTGGTAGACCATTAATATCAGATAGTGGAGAGGTTTTATGGGATAGAAAAATAGGAATATTTCCATTTATTGAGACTGTGGCTGCTAAAAGGAAGAGTAATAACAGGGAGGCAGGGCTTTTAGAGCTTAAACAACTTCTTAGTATCACCAAAGAACTGAGTAAAGAAATGTTGGTGAACCAGGTTATCCCTGCAATTAGGGAGAAATTGCCTTCTTGCTTAGATGAAAACATAGTGCGCTAGCAAGATAATGCAAAGCCACACTTTTTTGCCATAAACCCAAAGTTTATGGTAGCAACAACTGTGAATGGGTTCAACTCATCCTAAGTAACCAACCCCCCAACTCCCAAAACCTCAACATTCTAGACTTGAGTTTTTTTAGAGCCATCCAATCACTCAAAGATAAGACTGCTCCTAAAAATGTGGCATATTTAGTGGAAGCAGTTAAGGGTGCATATGCAACACTTACAAAAGAAACATTGAACAAGGTATGGTTGAGCTACCAACATGTGATGCATGAAGTCATGAATAATGAGGGAGGAAACAAGTACAAGATACCACATATGGCAAAACACAGATTAGCTAGAGAAGGAGCACTGCCAGTCACTCTAAATGTACCCCAAACACTGTTGGAGAAGACAGTAAGGGCGCTGGCTCACAGGAGTGCAAAATGAAGAGCAAGTAATGCCTAAGTTCATGACTGAAGATGGAAGACTTCTCATCTTCACAGATGAACTAAGTGTTTATCGTAACACCAAGGCTTTTTTTGTGAATGATTGGATACATTTTTTTGGGTTTTGAATTTTTTAAATGCACCATGTAAATAGTGAAGTGTAAGAAAGTAAGTCCTTGACTTTTCTGTTTCAACATCAAGGCAACAACCCGAAATGTACTCCAATCGGTTTTCTTTTACTACCACTCACATTAAGTACCTTAATGAACTACTTGAACTATACAAGTAAGTTGCATATTCATCATCGCTGTGTTTGTGCTATGAGTGTGTGCAATTAGGCATGAAAATGCAAAGATTAAAAAAAGAGTAACTTCACTTTCCACTCTCGGGGAGAAAGCAAGCCTAGAATCGCATGGGCCACGCCAAACCCCCTCGTCGATGACACTGGAGTGGCTGCCCATCTCAACACCTGTCCGCTCTTCGTCTGATTCACTCCCAAAGCTTCACATCTGCTCATCCTCCATCTCGCTTTCCTCCTATTGGTTGTCAGCGATGACTAAGCCAACTTCAGAGCTAGTCTCATCTGATTCGCTCTCTCCATCCTCACTGTCATCAGTCTTTTCTCTCTCTGTTCTCAAAGCTTCGATCTTTAGAGTTCATCCCTTGAAAATGAAGCTCAGTGTCAGGGATCTGAGATTCATGATGAAAATCAGCAGAATCCATATGAAGGTGGGGAGATGAAGATTAGATCTAGGGTTCTATGGGAGAAGAAATTTACAGAGACATGAAGAGAGTGTAAGAAGGAGAGACACGGAGACAACGAGAAGGAGAGACGCAGAGACGTGGAGAATGAGAGGCAGAAAGAAGGAAGAAGATCTAGATCTAGAGTTTAGTGAGAGAAGGCGAAGAGTGGAGATAAGATTGTGGTGGAGGAAATGTGGAGATAAGGTGGTGGTTGGCTTAAAAAAAGGTGAGGGTATTCTAGTCATTACACAACCCTTTTTAGTGTGTGGGAAGATAGTTTTAGGACGGAAAAAAAGGGAAGTGAGAAGATGGTTTTAGGACGGAGGGAGTATTTAACTCGAGTGCGGCTAGGCAGTTTTGAGATATTATATGTGGTTTGATGTTAACTTTGATGGAATTTTGAGGCTTGTATTATGTTTTCTATATGTTTTGTGAGATGTTATGTGTTTAATTTATTTAAAATTAGGACAATTGTTATATTTGGAACAAAAATATGTGTTAGAATTTAGGATGCCATAAGGATCCCTGGATTGGGTAATAAGAAATTTGGGTTGAACCACATTAAATGATTGAATCCAATCGATTAGTTCGTTCAACTCAAGAGCTTATATACCGATTATTTTACTCTTGGACTTCTGATGTGGGATGCCGCACTGTAAGTACTTTTGATGTGGGATGCACTCTAAGTATCTTACAAAAAATAAATAATTCAAATAAAAACTTTAGAAATAAATTTGTCGTACCCATTGCCGCACCCTCACCTTGTTTTTTCGAAAGTTTCTGCACCTGCGCACCAGTCGTGCACCCGCACCTGTGCTTCATAGGGTACATCTAATATATATTTTCATTATTTTTTTTCAAAGTAGGGAAAAATTCTGTTTTGGACCCTTGAGTATATGACCAAAATCACTTTTGGTCCATCAAGTATTACGTTTAACAGTTTGGTCCCTCAAGTTTCCACCAAAATCAATTTTGATCCTCCAACTATTAGACTCAGTAATTTTGGTCTCTCATGTATTTCCAATTAATCAATTTTAGTCCAACCACTAGTTTTCATCCAAATTTTAATAGTAAAAGCTAAAGAGAGAAAGTGATTACTACAATTCTTGGCAAATAGATAATTTTTCCATAAATTAATTACAAAAACTTTTTTCCTTGACTTTATTTTACTCCGTGTTCTAGAAAATAATTTGCTGTTTTATTTGGCATGCTTAGTTAAATGGAATTGTGTGGTTGTGGTTCTTTATAAATGATAGAATAAATGTGATCCACACAAATATTTTCCCCAAAATAATGAGAAGAAAGTATTAAAACATTTTTAAAAAGAAAGTGGGAAGAATTATTTTTAACGGAAAGTGTATTATTTGTTTGTTTTGTCAAGGAGTGGATTATTATTAATACACTCTCTTTCTCTAGTTTTCATTATGCTTTATATTCGTGTTATTGTTTGCGATTGTTGCCTTCCAAATTTCCAATTATGCTATTTAATCCTAAATAGGTTAAATCCACTTATAGACTAAATCAAAATGACACATTTAAACTTCCTTTGCCTTCTTACATACTATGAAGCTTTGGGTAGTAAATGCTGCAAGGCTTCGTAACATGGTCAAGGATGAATACCTTTTGACCCCCACCCCCGGATCAACAGATTTGGGATTGAAGTGTTTTTATTATCTTTACCTTTTCTTCAGCTATAGGTTTGAATTGATTCTTTTTACATATTTGAGTAAGTAGCCTTGTTTTCTTTCTTTGGTTTTGTGTAGGGGTTTTAGTAGCTAAGAATTTTTTTCTCTTTGTACTAGGGGCGGATCAAACATAATATGGATTGCAGCAAGTGGTGGGAGAGATCGACCAGACCACGTCTCTCGAGAATGGTGCCCTGTAAGATTCCTCCTTTCTCAATCATTTACTTTTGTTTTCTTTATCAATTCTGTGCATAGAAATGCTCATTGTACTCTTTTTAGCCTTTGGCATTGGGTACTAACTCTTGTAATTGATTTGGCATATTTTGCAATTCTCTATAAATCTCTTTTTGTTATTGATGATATCGGTTATATTTTGCAAATTGCATTAATTTATTGATTGAGCAAAGGGATTGTATTGCTTTTGCGTGATCAGGCACCATTTGATCCTTTGTCAGTGGATAATATGAGAAGGCTTGTAGAACATGCTGGTGTTACTGGGAATATATATCCATTAGCAATATTATGTTATAACATTATGCCACCACCTCTGCAGGTTTGATTTCTTGCTGATAGGTTCTTTGTCGATTTCATTTTCATTTCTCAGCTGTATAATGTGTAGTATATGTACATGTACAGGTTGAGAAAGAAGTTGGGGAGAAACGACTGATATCCTTTCATGGAGTGGGATTATCTGTGGCCCCCAAAGTGGATTTTCATGCAGTCTCTGCTGCCACTAAAGACCCAGAGGAGGTTAGCATGCTGACAAGTTTAATTCCATTTACATTGTCATTTTTATATAAAGTATGAAGTAGAGTCAGCTTTGCTCACAACTCGTGCCAGGAAATGGTAAGCTGGTAAGTAATCCAATATTAGTAGGGCTGGCCATGGAGGAGTTGAAGTAGGCAAGTAGCTTGACCATTGTAACACCAACCCCCCCTCCCTCCTCCATTGGATTTTTTTGATAATGCAATAACAATGGTTTGGCAGCAGCAAAACATGATGTGTAGGTATTGAAAGTGAAAGACATTGTGTTCACTAAAAGGTGTGAATTAGATTGCAATTAAAATTTAGTGTCTAGCGTATCGTGTTAAAAACTTTGAAGAAATAAAAGAGCAATATTGTGAAAGCTAGAATTAGGAGCCAGCATATTTTATAGGTGTGAAAATTTTACAATTCACTATCACGAGACTCTTCTTTCATGATTTCACACTACAAAGACTCAAAGTCGATTGGGCACTGCAACTAGCTTTGCTAAACATCTCTAGCTGATTTTGCCAGATCAATAACAAACATTACACTTTGTTTTAGATTGCATCATGGTAGTTAAACTTGCGATCCGAATTACTACCTCCGTCCCACTCTTTTTGTCCAGTTTTGACTTTTGGAACTGTTCATCTAAGAACTTTGACTCATCAAATTCTCTTAATGTGTAAGCCTAAATATAGTCATATGTGATCTTGTTTGATTTGTCTTAACATATAGATTATTCATATATAATTTTTATAATTTTTTAGTATACAAATTACAAGATAAAATGGATTAAAGAAGTACATTGGATGGTGTGCAAAAATGAAAGTGGACAAAAAGAGTGGGACGGAGGGAGTACAATTCTACGATACAGCGGATCATTTTTTAGGTTTGCTCTCTGAATCGCAAAGATCTGAAATAATGTGACTCGCCGATTCAGACCAGTCAGACCGTTAAATTGTTTTGATCACAATTCGCAAGGGATCACGAATCGCCGGAAACAATATCCACATGATAGAATATCCAAACGACGCGACTCTTTGGAGGCAGTGCACAGACTACGGGACTCGTCGCAAGTCGGAAACTATATTCACTCTGGTTTCATACGAAGTATCTCTTTGGTCTGTGGGATATTACTTTAACTTTTGTTTCTACCCCTGGTATTATTTTTCTTTCATTTCTGCCCAGGTATATTTTCTTGCCCAGTTATGTTACCTTATTCTGCCAGGTCATTTTCTTTTCATATTTATTCTTTTTTTACCATGAACAATTATGTTTTAGATGTTTAGGAGTGCAGTATTAAATGATCCGTGTCACGATCTTACAAGTTACGATCTTTAGTAAGGACATCGATCCTACATAGAGTCTTGAGTTTGACTACCTTGGATCTCACCAAAAAAACATGACAATTGTTTCACCCCGATTTACTAAAAAAACCCTACAAAAAGGATTTTAGTAGGCTATCCTCAATATTCAAAAGCGTTTAGAGAAGTCAGAAATGAGATGGAGAATACTTCAACTCCTTAAAAGATTATCTCAAGGGTTCAAGTACTAAATGGTGGGTGGGTGTCGAATGGTATGACTATGCACTATGAAGAATTAATACAAGAATTCTTTAGATTAATGAGTGTATATATTCTACTGTGCAAGCCCAATAACTGTTTGAGACTTAACAGAAAACATTTTGGCTCTGGAATTGCTTTTAATAGTTAGATTATAAAGGAGTAGAAAAAAAATATAACTCAAAACACGACATTTTGATCAATGAAGGCTGTCAAGTGTTGGAGATCATACAAAATCATTTAAAATGCCTCCTTAAGTCCTTACTGTTTCTACTTTCTAGTCGTTATCATTACTCAAATACATATTATGTTTCAAAATTTTCTGTTAGAAAGCTTTATTATATATCAATTCAATACGAATTTCTCCCCTGGCTTAAGTGGTAGGAAGCCCACTCCTTAAGATTCATGGGGAAGTTAACCCAGGTTTGATCCTCAGTCGATGCGAAGCATTCGTTCTTTGAGCACCATCAGGTTGAAAATTGTATGAACAGAAACTACATTGGAATAGAGTCAATAACATTCAACATACACACACACACACACACGAGTGGATTTACTGTGTGTGTGTGTGTCTATATATATATATATATATATATTTATGTTTATATATATCAATTTAATACAACAACCCAGTGTAATCTGAACTCAGTTGTGTCTGTGTTCAAGATGTTTGCTGTCTTTTACACTCTTACGCTTGTAAAAACTTGGAAGCTCTTTCCATTTGACCCTAGATGCATTGCTGCATTTTCTGTTTAAAACTTCGCATAATGTAAGATACAAGGGAGGTTTAATGTTCCATTTTAATTTGGTTCATTATGTGCCCTAAACAAAACCTTGTCAATAATGACTCTTGTAGCCCCATTAGCCATGGACGGTAGCTGTATCAATTAAATGAAAGTGAAAATCCACTCGTCGATACTGAACTGCCATTTGAGTCCACATTCCAGTATGCGGTCCATTGGTTGTTACATCATTCAAAATGAACGATCAACTGTTTTATTTGTGAGATGAGCTGTTTGAATATTTTTCTCTTAGAAGTGAATTGATTGCTTTTAAATATAAACCAACCAAACGGTCAACTGCCAGCCCAGGGTTGGACCTTCTGCATGACAGTTCCGGATGATTTTTTTTTTATTTCAGAGAATGTATGAAGGGGTTAATTAAGATGGTTCAAATTTTTTTTGTTATTATTTGAGTTTGCTTCAATAAACAATCATAAGAATACTACTACTAATGATGCTTCCAACTGCTTTTTCAAAAACCAAAACTTAGTGTACTATGTTGCTCCTGCACACTTGAAATATTCATTAGCATTTATTATTAGTGAACGTAAAAATAAGATAATGTAGCGCACCAGGGTAAGAGAAAGTATTCAATGAAAGACTAAAAGAGGAACAAAATTGACATTCCTTTGTATAGTTGTATGTGGATGTATTTTTCCCTCTCTGTGAGGTAGGTAATGGTCATTTGATCTGGCAGTGTTTGTTTATTACTCCCTCCGTCCCAAACTATAATGCATGTTCACTATTCACAGGGTCAAACTTCATTCACTTTCTTTCACTATTTTCGTTAGCAATTTGATAAAATAAAGTACTATTGTCACTACTAGTTTTGTAGATCTTTTGATGCAGTATTTTAATATGTAATTTTTATTTTTTTAATTATATACCATTTGTCATATAAAATGATTTGAAAATAATTTCAGTCAAACATCGTAAACCGAAACAGGCGTTATAAAATGGGACGGAGGGAGTACTTTATTATAAGGTTAGCAACAAATAATACTCTCTGAATCCACCAATGTTCAAGCAGATGCTCATTCACACTTACATACAGGCTAAGGTTGTGTACTGCAGTGGCCTTTTTGATTCAGTGAACCAGCAATACAACGTGTTAAAATCGGCGATTCATGGGAACCAAGGGCTGAAGGCATCTACACCTACTGTGTCATTGTCACAACCATGGCAGTCGTAGTTTAGCAACATCTACCTCTCATATCAGGTACTTTAACTCAGGATCACGGTAGTAATTTTATTAGTCTTCACATTCTTTCTTTTGACTAGACTGTATATCTGTCCAACTTCACGTTGTGTGTCTGTAGGTGTCACATCATATCTAGAGTTTCTCCATTTAGATTTGCGGCGCTCGAGCACAACTGGGTACTATGCTGAGTCAATGGATGTTTTGTCTGAAGCTTCATTTCATCCGGTTGTAGCTGTAAAAAAGATGCAACTCAGTGGCAGTTACATTTTGCCCTATGCATCAGATGTGTTCATGTACAAATTATAGTATGCTGAGCAAATTGAAGTTTTGTCAAAGGCTCAAAGCTCTCTAATTGACAGGCAATTAGTGTATCATTTAGCTAGCAACTTATGATTTGCTGCTGTTTTTTAACCATCAGTCCTTGAGCCAGTAGAAGTCTTCCAGAACCTATCTCTACCTTTTATAGGTCAGCGCAAGGTCCCTCTCCGGATTCCACTCGTGGGAATTTACAGGGTAGGTTGTTGCTTTGTTCATGTGTGGTCTTCGAAAACTTAGTGTTCTAGAATTGATCATCTTGGGCATTGTTGTGATGATTAGTAAACCATGCCTTGAGTTTCCCACTCTTTCAAGAAAGCGACATTGGTTTAATGGTTTGTTATTGCAAATGATTACTTTTAAAAGATCTTTATTTATAAAAGGGTATTAAAAATATTATACTCCGTACCTAATAGAAAAAGTTGTTCTCCCTCTGTCTTAATTTAAATTGTCTCAATCTAAATTCTTTGTTTTAGTTTAGCATGTTTGATTTAAGTTATTTTAAATATAATTTATCTTAGAATTTAGCTGACTTTAAAAAATAAATTAACATATTAAAAACTACTCCCTCCGTCCCAAATTATAATGCATGTTTATTAGTCACAAAGTCAAACATTATTCACTTTGTTTTTCTATTTTTGTTAGCAAGTTGATAAAATAAAATACTATTATCACTACTAGTTTTGTAGATCTTTTAATGTAGTATTTTAATATGTAATTTTTATTTTTTAATTATATATCATTTGTCATATAAAATCGTTTGAAAATAATTTCAGTCAAGCATTGTAAACCGAAACAGGTGTTATAAAATGGGACGGAAAGAGTACATAAGAACTATAGAAAACAAGAAATGAAATTGTTATGTTATTTTACCAAATTAGTAGCAAAAATAAGAAAAGAAAGAAAAAAATTGGTTCTCTCGGTTGTAAATAGATAATTTAATTTGAAGTGTAGAGAGTATATTGTTTGTACTAAAAGATTAAATTTCCTACCTAATTGTTACTCAATAATTATGTGTTTTTGTTAATTGGTTCTCAAGATGAATTATTTATCAAGATGGTACTTGCTAATTAAGAAAAATATTTACTTTAGTCCGACTAACAACTGTCATAACAGTGTCAAAATGACATTACAACTTATACTAATGTTCCAAAATAGTCCTTTCTAATTTTGTGTTTTTTCAAATTGGTTCATTTCCAAAATAAGAATCCATTTAATATGGAAAGATAATTTTAAATATTATACGATAAAAATATTATAAAATAACACTATAAATATAATTTAATAAAACTATAAATATAATTTAATATAACTTATCTTAGAATTTAGTTGAATTTACAAAATAAATTAACATATTAAAAACTACATAAGAACTATAGAAAACAAGAAATTAAGTTGTTAAATTATTTTATCAAATTAGTAGTAAAAATAACCTCATTTTAACATTTTAGTAGCAAAAATAAATTAGTAGTAAATCATTTTAATAACAAAGCTTTTAAATTATTCTTAGTCAGAGACACTAATTTTAACAAACTCTTAAACGAATTCTAGTTTAAGGTTTTTAAACTATATTTCAGTTTAAGGTACTTCTGACCAACCCTTAAGCTAGGCCTAGTTTAAAATATAGATTTTCAAAATCTTAAACTTACCTTCGCTTAAGGTCAACCAGATACCGAATAGTGGAATGTTCACTGTCAGGTTGAGTGGTACCCCCAAACGAGTAAGTACTCAAGTTTGGTTTGTGGATCCCGTACGTGCGTTTTAACCCTGTCTACCTGACATCATATTCGCAATGCCTAACTTAAATGGGTATGTCTTAGAGTTTTTCTAGAATCCCTTGGAAAGGCAACAACGACCGTCAATAGGTAGACTACAATACGTGCTTACAGAAACTAGAGAGTTATACTACTTGAGAAGTATTAAATGTCCAACAAAGATGTACATATTATAAGTGCTTGAGGACAGTTAACAATGTTCTACATAATGCATTGAAGGAATAATGTGAAGCATTGAGGTTATTAACCGATGATAAAGAATTTATTGAAGGTATGAAAGAGGTTGTTAAGTCAAGATGTGGGAATCTGCTAAAAAAGTTGTTCGTCACATTATTAATGACAAGTACCATGAGTCACCCACTAATTTTTTTCAGAAAAATGAGAGATGTAATGAGATTTTTTAATAATAACTTCATAAATGAACCATTCGGAGGGAAAACAGCTATACTCGGATGTGATTTTATCCAAATTCTTTCAGGTCTACTCATAGCATAGTAGAAGAGAAAATTGTAGGTGCTACCACCAATTCTCACAAATGTGATTGTAATGTAAAGTTTATAGGTTAGCTAAGAATATGAGATTGCATTTATCTACACGCTCTTGCACTGATAGGGACACATAATCTTTTTCTGTATTGATAAGCAAAGTCAAAGATGGAAAACTTGGACAAGTGATCGATGAAACTGCTGACGTTGAAATCTTGCTTGAATTTTTGATGCTTGACACAAGTTACCCCCTCAAGAGTATAGTGGACTTTACTTATCCAAACCTATTAGAGAACATGAAAATAAAAACACTTACAACGATACAAAAAATGTTGTGTACACTAAAGTCTTTCAAAAAATTTGGAATTAAAAAAGATTTTTTCAAGTACACTTTCAATTTCTCAAATATTATATTCTACTTTGTCATTGTTTTCCATTGATTAAAATTTCTGACAGAGATATATTTACTTGATTTCGGAATAAATATTTCATTGAAAAATTTCAAAATCGACCCCGTGCATCGCACGGGTCAAAATACTAGTATGAGTATATGTTAGAGTTCTTCTAGATATCCTTGGAAATCCCGATCAAGTAACAAAATTGGTCAATTGGGTATATATCTTAGAGTCTTCTAGATACCCATCAAAAATCAATATCTATAGGGGTATATCTTAGATTTATTCTAGATACCCTTAACAATCAATATATTTATTTTTAATCATGATTCAATCATTCATTTATCATTTAATGAGAATTTATTTTTCAAAAACATCACATAAGAATTTATTTCTCAAAAACATTATTTTATTGTGAGAAATCATCTTTATATTGGTCATAATTGATTGGTATCAAAAATAGAATTTTAGAGCTCAAAAAAAAAATTGAAATAATTTCGGTTCAAAACATTTGGGGGATTGATCCAGTACTCTGGATTGATCCATGCTAGAGAAAAATACACCCAGAAGAATATTTAAATACAAGAGATGCGTATCAAAATTTGGTTTATATTTCACAAATTAAAAAAATGAACGACAACAAAGGAGTATTTTGAATGTTTGTAAATACTTTTATGTTCATACACAAAAACTAAAACTCAAATAAAAGTATAATTTACACGTAATAGAACTTGAACCGATTTTTTTTAAAAATTATTATTTAGTGAAGGAATATAAAAATATTACTCCGGGGTATTATTTTTTATAATATTTTAGTATATATGTTCGGTTCGGGATTTTTGGTATGGGACGTCACCTCGTACCGTTCCCAAATATCGTACCGACCATTCAGTTCGGTATGGTTCGGTTCCTTCTCGGTACTTTTTCGGTTCGGTATTCTCAGTTTTTTTGGGAAATTTCGGTATCGGTTCGGTACTTGCTCACCCCTACAGAAAATCGATCCATAGGGTGGATAGATCCACTTTGCTGGTTTTTCGATCACTGTTCATCTTCTTCTTCATTCGGTCCATTTTTCAGAAATATCTTTTTTAGTCACCAAACGTCAGTTAAACTATATAGAAATGTTCTCTAATGTTCATAGATCATTTTGGCATCATTAATTCGTAGTTTTAACAATAAATTCAAGGTTTATGATTCTTGGTTTTTCAAGCATGTCAAACACAAAACTTAACCAAATGACCATTTATGAACGTAGGAACGACCTATACGAATATTCTAGTCACTAGATATATCTATGGGCTTACCTCGAGCTTAAATGAACGTTTTGGAAATTTTCGAACGAAATTTCCGGCGACGATTCATACCAACTCCGTGACTTCGGCGGCCACAAACTACTGCAGCATGTTCTCCTCACTCTCAGGAACACATTGGTACTAAACTTATAATTTTTGATGAAGAATGAGGAGGTTGATGATACTCTTATATAGCCTCAAGGTAGAGGATGAAGCCAAGCCAATTTCGTCACTAGATCGTAGAATTTCTTTAGTGCGTAGGACGACGATTTCATGAGATTTACACGCCGTTCCCTGATTGGGACCAATTTTGGTTCTAGTCGAGGTACACTTTTTAGTCCAAGTTTCTTCGATTTGAATTTCGTTTGCACCATAGCAATCAGACAGTCGAACTCTAATCAAGGATATAATTTTCATATTTATTTGTAGTAATATTTTTTCCAACATCATAATTTTGGGTGTTTGACTTTGACAGAGTCAAAATTTATTTACATGACCTTTATTCAAAAAAGTTCTTTCATTTAATTCACATCATTTATTCTCATAATTTATTTCAATAAATCATTTCACGATTCACATCATAAACAAATTCTTTATCACACAATTAAGTCAGCATATTGGATTTATCTTTATGCGATTCATCCATATTGTGATATTGGATATCAAAACACATTTCATTTCGGCCCAAAGCCCAACAATAATTTCTTTTAATCAAAAAAAATTTGTTTAATTGAATATTTAATTCAATAAATTTTAGGATATGTTTTGGGGCGCTACAGTAAGCAGAATGTTAACACTCGATGCTAGGCCACTATTTGTTACGAAGTATTAAATATTACGATGATGATTATTATTGAATATTAATTGTGATAATTGAAATATGATTAAATAAACAATATCTTGATCAAATGCTGATAATAAACAATGAAGGCTATTTAGAAGAATTCTAAGATAGACTCCGTGTGACCAATTTAGTTAGGCCTTGTGAATATGATGTCCAGTGGCTTGGGTTAAAACATACGTACGAGATCCACAAACCAAACTTAAGTATCCACTCCTTTCGAGGTACCACCCAACCCGACGCTGAGTAGACTACTGTTCGATTTTGGGCGTGACCTATAAGACTCATAAGACAGGTCATCGATTCTTGTGTTTTTCCTTAAACTAATCATAGTTTAAGAGTCCGGTTATCAATATAAATTAGCCTTAGACTAAGAATAATTTAAGGGGATTGTTATTATTTGGCCTTAGACTAAGAATAGTTTAAAAGCACTATTGACACAATGAATATTGAAATGAATATTATGTGCATGATATCAAATGGTTTGGATATGAATTGTGATTCAATTTATGTGGATGTTCGATGTATTAGATATCCTTATTCAGCTTCAACGCTGAGTGCGTGATATGTTTATTTGCTACACACAGGTAAACAAAATAAAGAATAATGTAACTTGATATTGTGATGGTTTTCCAGCTGTTTAAATAAATATTCAAAATGAATTATTTTTAATTATGTTTATAATGTGAAACAATTATTTAAGCTTCTGCAAGTTTGATAAACTCCGCTATTGTTATGAATATTTTATGATTAAATAAAATTTGAAATGTTTTAAATTTTTACTTTACCAAGTTAATACTTTAATCAAAAAGGGACTGCAGACCTGAGCGGATTAGAGTGTTACAGAATCAATTCACTCTCCACAGCTTTGGAAGAATAAGAAGCTCGCGCCAACAAATGCGCAGCTTTGTTAGCAAATCGTGAGACCTATGAAATATTAATCTCTTTGCCACAACTAGCAATGAGATAAAATAAAATAATAGTCAAATGAAATAAGAGTAATTGTTAGTCAAGCCACAAAAAAGCATTCACAACATCCTTATTACTCCTTATTTGATTTCAGCATCACTCGTTTTAAGAATTCTTGATAAATAAAATCTTGGGATTACAAATAATGTAATGAGATTCTGGGTTCTTTATAGAAACCTAGGCTTTGACTTAACAAACATTTGGCTTTGGAGCACTCGCATTCTAAGTTTCTGTGCAAGTCTTACCTCTATATAATACTCCCTCCCTCGCAAAATATTCACAACATTTGCTTTTTCAGCAGTTGCGGGAACTTTTGTTTATTTTTACGTTTTCATTAGTTATTTGATAAAATAAAATATTCTTGACATCTCTTATTTCGAAGAACTTTTCATGTAGTTTTTTGATATGTAAATTTTATTTTTTATTTTTATACCAATATGTAAATAAAATGAATTGAAAAAACTTGATATTTTGCCTCGGGAATACAAATGTGGCAAATATTTTGGGACGGAGAAAGTACTTTGTGTCACTGGAGTTCTTCGTAACGCAAGAATAAAACTTTGTAGAGTCAAATTATGAACTATTTTATGGAACAAAGGAGTTCATCTTTTAAATACTGTGTATTTCATAAGATGTAGGAATGTAAGATTTTTGAAAAATTTGAAGTAAAACTATTTTATAAATTAAAAATTGATTAAAGTACTTTTTATGTCCCAAAAAATTATGTTTAATTTAATGAAGTGAAAATTTGATTGGCCGAATTTTTTAAAGACTAATTGTTTAAACATGAATGTACACATAATAAGACCTTCCATCCATTTGAGTATTTCACACTATTCCATTCATTTTCAAAATGATATCTATTTCCTCTCATCTCTCATAAATTCTTGAAAAATGATAGGGGTACACCAAAGGTGTACCCCATTTGTCCCCCACCCCCTCCATTATCACAAAAATGGGCAAAAATTTTAAAAAAAAATTAAATAAATAAAAAGTAGATAAAAATGGGTGGTGGAGAAAGGGGTGTGGGACAAATGGGGTAAACCTTTAGTGTACCCTACCTAGCATTGATCTAAATCCTTTATGGAAAATGCTAGGGGTACACCATTTGGTGTACCCCATTTGTCCCCCACCCCCTTCATAACCATTCAAATAGACAAGAAAATTAAAAAAATATAAGTAAATAAAAATCAAATTGAAATGAGTGGTTATGGTGGGGGTGGGGGACAAATGAGGTACACATTTGGTGTACCCCTAGCATCTCCCATCCTTTATTCCTAGTCCATCCTTACCCGGACTTCGGCCTCAATTTCAAGCTAGGGAATGAAGATTTATAGGAGAGGGATAGGAGCACTGGAAATGGTCATGAAGCCCCGGGGCTTCAAACTAGAGCTTCAAACACTTTCTCTCTATTAGGGGTGTTCATGTTTCGGTCTGGACCGAAAAAACCAACCGAACCGGACCGATAGGTCCAGACCGAACCCGGACCGACATCATATCGGGTCGGTCTTCGGTCCGGATAATTTTTCATTTCGGGTATCGGTCTAGTCCGGTCTATACCCGAATAAATTTCGGTCTGGACCGATAGACCGATTATTTATCCTTATGAGCCTTATCTGATTCTTAGCCTCACAAATCCATCCAGGTAAATCAGTAATCCCCCGCCAACCTCTCGCTTCTCGCACATCATCGTCTTCTCTCCCTCTCTACAATTGACTCTACGGTCTACATCTCCCTCTGAAATCGAAGTCCCCACTCCATCTACCTCTAAAATCGACCCCATGTTCTCCGTCATCTTCTCCGACTAAAGATTCCAAGCCTTCTCACAATCGCACTGACACACGGTTTTGTATTTCTCTTTTTATCCGATTGTCAACTAAAATGTGGAAATTGCTGAGAAATTTAGAAGTTATAAATTGCTGGAGATCTGGAGTGGAGTGTTGAAGCTTCTCAAAAGGGTAAAATTTCCAATTCCATTGCCTGCTTCATAACTACAGTATAATATGTTCATGTTCACAATTATGGAATCATGCTTGTTTGGAATGGATTTAGTTTGATGGGAATGGGATGAGCCTCTGTGTTGAACACAAACTGAGTGATCTCCAGTGTCCACTGTTTTAAATTACAAACTAGACTATGGAGTCCTTGGTGAATGAAGTGCCCATATCTTGGCTCTCTAAATTTGTCATGGATTCTACAAATTGCTTTATTTGGTGAATGGATGCAAATTGATTTTTTATGGGTGCATTTACATTTGTGGTGTTTTTGCTATAAGTTCTGTGAATGGAAATATGGAATCAATGGATGCAGCAGATTACTTTTTATTTGCTTCCGGTTCCGTGGTTTCATTTTTTTTGGTGCTAATTACTTATTTTTTGTAATGCATATTTGTCATGGATGCTGCAAATTTCTTTTTATGATGCATCTTTGTTAAGTTTTATGATTCCACGCATCTTTGTCAACTGTGGTGTTTTGCTTATACAATATTTAAATATTTAATTGTAGGAACTTAAAAAAATTTCGGTCTTTTCGGTCCCAACCGGTTCGGTCTGAAGAATTTCGGTCCGAACCGGTCCAAGACCGAATTCTAATAGGTCCGGTCTTCGGTCTTTATTTTTTCTCATTTCGGTCTTTGGTCTGGTCCGGTTCGGTCCGGTCCGGTCTGGTCCTGGACCGATGAACACCCCTACTCTCTGCCACGTCAGCTTTAACTTACACCAAAAATTCACTGGAAATGGTTTTGAAGCCCCGGGGCTTCAAACTGGGCTTCAAACTGGGGCTTCAAACCTTCATTTTATACATTTTTAAATATACATCTTCTAAATTTAAATTAATAAATTTAAATTAATTTATTATTTTAAGTAATCACAATGAGACTAGTGCATTAAAAAAATTACATTCATTAAAAAAATAATCTTACATTCATAAAAAAAACATTCATAAAAAAATTACATTTATTAAAAAAAACGAAAAAATACAATTCGTCGCGAAACAACGAAAAAATAAAGCTCTTCTTTCATCGTCGTAAGATAAACCCATTTTTAAATTATATTTTATAAATGTTTATAATAAATAATAAATATTTTAGAAAGAATATAAAGTAATAAAGAGAGATGTGTGAGAGAGAGGTGTGAGAAAGATGTATGAGAAAAGAGGATTTTATAGGTTTTTTTTTTAATTTAGAATTTCTTTTTAATTTGGGGGGGGGGGGGGGGGNGGGAGCCGGTGAAAAAACGTAGCAACGCCGCGTCAAACAAATGACGCTGGTGAACTCACGCCCGTGTCACGCCGAGAGGGAGTGGTGTTTAACGCTCCTCGGCGTTAAACGCCCCTATCATGCCGGTGGGCGTGAGGGGTATTACCACTGCTCTAAGAATCATTTTGACATCAAAAGGAGTACGGTAAAGTCTATAAAAACACTCTCCAACTCCACCTTAAAGAAAAAAGTTTCTCATCAATGTATGACTACAATTTCTCTCATCTATAGTGTTATTTTTTAGGCTAATTTATTTTGATGTACTTCTATGGTAGGGAAATTTGCTTTTGCATCTCATCCACTCTTTCACTCTATAACACAAAAAAAGATCTACATAGCTTGAAAAATGCAAAATCTCACCATTAAGATAAAAAAATTACTCACTCAAAACTGATGGGTGTATTTCACCCATCACCGGTCAGAGATCAGAGCCAGATAGTTGACCGGTCAAAAAGGTCAAACTTGAGAGAAAGGTCCATATCGGCGGCAAAGAGACGAGGGATCGACCGCAAAGTTGACCGGTATACTTCGGATAGTATACCGGTCAACTTACTCAAGTCTGTGGGACCAATTTCCGAAGTCCATCAATCAACCCACGATGACCAGCCGGGGTAGTATTTCAAGGTCGACGAGTGTCGGCAGGAAGGATCCAAAATGACTTGGACTGTAGTGGTTGGCATGGCTGAGATGCTGGAGGAATATTTCCAAGCCAGAACGTGACAAGGAGGGTAATCCCCCTCGCAAGATGACAAGGTGGCTCAGGGACAGTCATAACACCACATCAGCAGCATGCCCCCACGTGGGTGCACGTGGTCCTGTCCCCCAGATTAGTATATATACCTCATGTAACCCTCGAGGAAGGGGATCCGAATTCATTTCCTCTAAACTCCCTTGTAAAAGCACCCGTGCATTCTCCGTTATAATATAAATTGGGCCACAAGTGTTCCACCTAAAGTCCTACCGGTCAATCGACGAGTTTTTACCTTTCTTACTTTGCCAAATCAAGCAAACTATTCTAGACCCGGTCTAGTATAGTTTGACCGGTCAAGTAATTTACACCATCATTTTTGGCGCCATCCGTGGGACCGTTAAGGTTTCTTCTCCTAAACACAAACCTACCCACCAAAACACCACTCGAAATGTCTTCCAGCCAACAAATCAACGCTACTTCCGCTCAGGTGCAGGCCACCAATGAGGGCACCAGCATCCCTGTGGCTGCTACCATACCGGTCATTTCAGCCCCGGTGTTGCCTTTGGGTCTGAGCTCTGTCCCGACGGCCAGCGTGATCAGCCCCTTTGCGACCCTCGTCCCTTCCGCTGGACCGAGGGTCACATTCCCACCAAGCATGACTCAGTTCATGAATGACCCAGCCAACCTACAAGCCATCCAGGGCTTTGGCCAGGTCATGGCCATGTGCCAACAGAATGGGGGGATGCCTTTTCTCCCTGGTATGTTTCCGTTCGCTCTTCCAGGCGCGGGAACCATGCCCTTACAAGCTCCAATGGCGGTGGCGTCGTTCCAGACGCCGGTGCCGCAGCCATCTCCTTTCCAGCCCCAGCTGGTCAGCGCCATGGCCCCTATCAACTTGGCCGGCGCACTAAACGCTGCAGGGCCGTCGCGTCCCCCGCAAGCTACGGATCCGCAGATCACTCCTGATGGTCATTGCGTCTCAATTGAGAGCGATGACGGCGAGTGGGACATTCCAAGGGCCCACAAGAAGAAGAAAGGAAAAAACATCCGGCCAGCAACCTCCCGAAACTCCGCCTTCGAAAGGCTGGGGCAGAGCGTTGCCCATGTCATCGCGTTCGCCCGGCTAGGCGAGATGCGGGAGGCCGAGCCTGCCCGCACCCGGCGCTCCCGGTCTAACCGGTAGGAGCCAGCAAGGACGAGGGCCTCTCGTCAGGAAGAGGAAGCTGAGAGCCAGCCCAGGTTACCGGTGGCGAACCGGTTGACCATCCCAAATGACCGCGTCCAGCAGATGGAGGCAAAACTAGAAAGGCTGGAGAAGAAGGTCGGAGAGAAGAATGACCGGGACAAACCCTTGGCGGGGTCCCCGTTCACAAGGGTCCATCTGACACCTTTCCCGCGAAAGGTCAAGATCGACGCCCCCAGATTCACCGGGAAGGAAGATCCGGAAATCCATCTGGATTCCTTCAACTAGAGTGCGACCATGAACGGTTGCACCGATGAAGAAAAGTGCCTTCTTTTCTTCTAGACCTTGCGGAACCGAGCCACTGAATGGTTCAATAAGCTTCGCCCGGGAAGCATTGATTCATTCAGTGATTTGGCCTCAAAGTTCAAGGCCAAGTTCCAGGAGAATTGTACTAAGAGGAAGAAATTCACCTATCTTAGTACAGCCGGGCAGAGGGAGTCTGAGAGCCTTACTCAGTTCCTTACCCGGTGGAAGGAAGAGGTGGACAAGGTGGAAGAGATGGATGACAAGACCGTCCTCTCCCTCCTCTTGAATGGCTTGCGTGCTGGGGAACTATACAAAGAGTTCTGCCAGAAACCCCCAGCCACGTACCAAGAGGCCTACCACACTGCATGGGAGTTTGCTGAGGCTGAAACCCAGCTCCGGGCAAAGAGAGAAGCTGAGCATGGTCACAAGCCAAGGCCGGTGCAAGTCAAGAAGGAAGAAGCACCGGGACCTAGCCGGCCGAGGCACCACTATGACCCGGTCATCCGAGTGATCAATACGGAAGAATGCCAAGAAATCCGGAAAGCACCGGTCATTCCTCCAGAAAACCCTACCGGTCAAGTAGGGCGGCAGTGGTCGGGCACCTAATGTTCATACCACAGGTCAGATTCCCATAACACCTCCGAATGCAAAAGTGTTAAGGGGGTCATCCGGAAGATGATCGACAGTGGGGAGCTGGGCAAAGATTACTTGCAGAAAGCCCAGGAGAAGAGTCATCAATGGGTTAGGCCGATTACCCCAGGGGATGACCGGGACAACGACCGGCGGAGGAATAACCGGCCAAGGGAGCGGCAACCTGCTCTCGAAAAAGAGCACATCGGCATGATCTTCGGCGGACCCGAGGGTGGAGATTCAGCCGCGCAGCGGAAGAACTGGGTCCGGAGCATTTACGTTGGAGAGGTAAGTGCTGAACCGCCCAGGCGTAAACATACTAGGAGGGAGCCTATCGTCTTCACTGACCGGGATCTCCCTCCTACTGGTGAAGATCACAATGATCCATTGGTCATCACCATGGACATTAATGGGGTGGATGTCGCCCGGGTACTTGTTGACACCGGCAGCAGTGTCAACATCTTATACCTGGAGACCTTCCAAAAACTCAGGTTGTGTCGAACACAACTTGAACCCTCAAAACCCCTCTCTCAGGCTTCACGGGGGACACCGTTGAAGCTGAAGGATCCATAGTTCTACCGGTCGAACTAGGATCAGGTGAAAAAACCATGTGGAAGAAGATGCGGTTCATAGTTGTGGACATCAAATGTGTCCACAACGCAATTCTTGGAACGCCAGGCATCAACAGAGTCGGGGCGGTGATTTCCATGCCTCATCTATGCATGAAGTTCCACACTCCAGGTGGTGTGGGTGAGGTGAAGGGCGACCAGAGGAACGCCCGGGAGTGCTATGCTCGGGCAGTCAAGAAAATGACCAAGGGGGTCAATGTCATCTCCCAAGAAATCACAAAGGGAGAGACCCGGGAGAAATTGGAGCCCGAGGCCGAGACGGTGGAAATCGAACTTCACCCGGGTGATTCTTCGAGGATGGTCCGAATTGGAGCAAATCTCCCCGAGGATCTCAAGGTAGAAATCACACGGGTCCTCCAAGAATACGCGGGCATATTCGCATGGAGCGTGGCGGATATGCCCGGGATAGATCGCTCTGTTATCTGCCACCGGTTGGCCGTGAGGGAAGGAAGTCGACCGGTACGCCAGAAGAAGCGGTATTCTGCCAGTGACCGGCGAGACTTCGTCAAGAAGGAAGTGAAAGACCTCCTCAGTGTTGGTCACATCCGGGAGGTCAAATACCCGGATTGGCTGGCCAACGTTGTCCTCGCTCCCAAGGGCGACACGTGGAGAATGTGTGTGGATTACACGGACTTGAACAAGGCCTGTCCGATGGATTCATACCCCCTCCCCAGTCTAGATCAAATGGTGGACGAAACTCCGGGGTGCGAACTCCTAAGTTTCATGGACGCCTTCAAGGGTTACCACCAAATCTACATGTCTGAGGAAGATGAAGAGAAGACGTCATTCCTCACACCCGAAGGAACCTACTGTTACCAGGTAACGGCGTTTGGCTTGAAGAACTCGGGGGCAACCTACCAGCGCATGGTGAACAAACTCTTCAAGCCACTACTGGGAAAGACCATGGAGGCATACGTCGACGACATGCTGATCAAAAGCCAGGTATCTCTGAACCACCCGGCTGATATGCGAGCCACGTTCGATATCATGGCAAGGTACAACCTCCGGCTGAACCTAAGAAATGCGTCTTCGCGGTTCGCACCGGGAAGTTCCTGGGATTCATGGTGACCAAGAGAGGAATAGAGCCCAACCCAGAAAAAATCCGGGCTATCACTGAAATGCAAGCCCCTACCCCCGTTAGGGATGTTCAAAAGTTGACCGGTCGCTTAGCGGCCCTCAGCCGGTTCCTTTCCCGGTCAGCTGTGAGATCCCTGCCCTTCATCAAAGTTCTGAAGAAGGCCAACACATTCGCATGGGACGAAGAATGCCAGAGGGCATTTGAGGAGCTGAAAGAGTACCTAGCGTCAGATATTGTATTGTCTAAACCTGAGCTGGGTGAAACTATGTATTTGTACCTGGGAATTTCCCCAAATGCTGTAAGCTCCGTTTTAATACGAGATGATGGGGCGCAAAAGCCCATTTATTATGTGAGCAAAGCACTAAACGGGGCCGAGAGTAGATATACGGCGATGGAAAAGACAGCCTATGTGCTTTTCATCTCCGCAAAAAAGTTAACATCCTACTTCCAAGCTCACCCGGTAGAAGTCTTGACTGACCAACCGCTGGGTGCAGTGTTGCAAAATTCAACACCCTCCGGGAGGATGGTGAAGTGGGCGATGATGTTAACTCAATTCAATATTGAGTACCGGCCAAGGTCAGCAATCAAGGGATAGGTCCTTGATGGGCCAAGTTAGACCGGTCCCTGACTTCTTGGTAGAAATGACCGGTCTAACTCCAGACCTACCGGTCAACAAGCCTGTTGAGCAATGGTGGGAGATGGCAGTTGATGGGGCATCCGGTCCTAGAGGATACGGGGGTGGTATCGTGTTCACCACCCAGAAGGGTTCAAGATCTACCATGCAATCGTCTTCAACTTCAAGCTGACGAACAATGAGGCTGAGTATGAAGCTCTTGCCGGAGGGCTCAGACTTGCCCAAGCCCTGGAAATCAGCCGGGTCAGTATCAAATCTGACTCTAGCCTGATAGTTGGACAGGTGACCGGTAACATGGAAGCAAGGGAAGGACGCATGGCACAATACAGGGACCTTGTACTTGCCCTGTTGAAAGGCTTCGAAGAGTTCAAGATCGCCCAAATTCCCCCGGCAGAAAACGCAGATGCAGACCTTCTCTCCAAGTTGACGCAGTATGCTCCCGAGCATGTTTCGAAACTTGCCCGGGTAGAGATCCTTGACCGTGCAAGCATCGAAAAATTGGAAGTCGCCGCCATAACGGCCGGAAGCCAATTTGACCGGTCAAACCTCGTCAGGGCGGACGACCATTGGATGTATGATCTGATGGAATATTTGATGGATGGGAGCTTGCCAGAACAAGATGACCGGGCAAGAAAAGTGAAGCTCAGGGCACCCCGATTCCAGGTTCTCGATGGAAAGCTGTATAAAAGGCATTTGGGGGACCACTCCTGAGATGTCTGACCAACCGGGAGGCTGAGCGAGTCATAGCGGAGGTCCACGAAGGCGTATGCGCGGCACATCAAATGTCCTGTACGCTTTCCCAACGCATCATCTTGTTGGGGTATTACTGGCCAACAATTGTCCAGGATTGTGAAAGGTACGTTCAGAAATGCAGGACGTGCCAAGTATTCTACAAGTATCCTGGTAGACCGGCGACCAACTATCACCCCGTATCAAACGTCGTCCCATTCGCTAGATTCGGGGTTGACATTATCGGAGCATTCCCGGTCGCCCAAGGAGGGAAGAAGTTCGTGATCGTAGCCATCGATTACTTCACCAAATGGATCGAGGCCAAAGCGTTGGCCAACATTACCACGCAACAATGCAAGAAATTCATTTGGAAGAACATCATCACGAGGTTTGGAGCACCCATGAACCTCATCACCGACAACGGCCCACAATTCCGAAATCCGAGGTTCACCGAATACTTGGAGGGCTTCGGAATCAATCACAATCGCTCCTCGGTAGCGTACCCCCAAGGGAATGGCCAAGTCGAAAACGCCAACCAGACAATTGTGGATGGTCTAAAGAAGCGGCTGGGAGAAGCAGGAAACAAGTGGCTAGAAGAGCTCTCACACATCGTATGGGCATTCCGAGTAACACCCAGGAGGGCTCATGGGGAAACCCCATTCTCCCTAACCTATGGGTGTGAAGCAAGGCTGCCCATCGAAGCTGAATTGCCCACGTTTCGGGAGTCAAATTATCAACCCCAGCAGAATGAGGAAGATCACTTGGCCGAACTCAACTTGGTCGAAGAGCGGAGAATGGCCGCGGAAGTTAAATTGAGTACATACCAACAAATTGTGAAGAAGTACCATGACAACAAGGTTGGGCCGCGGTACTTCCAAGTTGGAGATGAAGTCCTACGAAGAAGAGAAGCAAGTAGACCCGGCGATGGAGGAAAGCTGGCAAAAAACTGGGAAGGCCCATACAGGGTTAGAGCCATCATTCGACCGGGAACGTATCGGTTAGAAACTTTAGAGGGTGCACCGGTAGAAAGAACTTGGAATTCCCACCATCTTCGCAAGTTCTACAAATGATTGTAATACTAGGCGAGGCCTAACTACATTATCAATCAAAGTGATGTTCAATACTCTACTTGGTAGCGGCAGAATTGATAGGTCAAACCTGTCCTAGGAGGGCTTCCTGGGTGGATCGAATCCACTTGGATAAGCCAACTAAGACACAGGCCCGGACATGGCACGCTGGTTACTACACCGGTCTTGCTCAGTATAATAGAAAAAATATTAAAACCCGGAAGAGGATATGCCTGCAAGAGGGCTGGACCTGGAAGAAGGTTCGAACCGTACTTACACGGGCCCATGAGGTTTGACTGGTGTCGGGAAATCAGCCGACGCCGTCAAATTGATTGGGGACTAAAAGATGCCCATTAAAAGAAATAGAAGGGGATCGTCCACCGCGGCGCATCCTGTTTCCCCCTTCTCAGGGAAGACTTGAACGGGAGGGTGAGCTAAGGCCTTCCCGGGATCGTAGAAATCAAAGGGCCATTAAAAGACTTAATCACCCGGAAGAGGGGGCCCTGGAAGAAGGGTGCATTTGAACCTTGGAGAGGGTTCGAAACCATTCGACATGGTTAAATCTCTAGTATTCTTACCGGTTAAGGATACTTCAAGAATTGCTAGGTTAAAGGTGTTTCCATCTACAACCTACCGGTAAAAAAAAAAAAGAATACCCCGGTCGGGTATGGGCACAACAGAACTTCGAAAGTTCCACAAGGCAAGGCAGATGACCTGTCCAACCAAGGAGTGGGAATTCACTGGTCAAATAAAACTTTGTCGAAGGATTCGTGAAGCCATCCAAAAGGCCAAAGTAAAGTTCGGCCGGTCAAACTTTTAAAGTTCTCCTTTGGATAAAGTGATCAAAGAGAACTTTGAAGTTTAACCGGTCAATGTGACTCGAGTTAATCCTTTGGATAAAGTGATCAAAGAGAACTTTGAAGTTCTCCCGGTCAGAAATAATTGAGAAATGGTCTGGTTGGGCTACCGGCCAGAATTCATAAGAAGCAAGAGCAAAGTATAAATCAACAAGCAAACAGATATGGAAGGTTCACCGGTAAGGAAATTCGACATGGCATTCAAACGGAACGAGAATGTTAAATGTTTACATATTACACCGGGCATCCCCGGGAAAATTCATAGTTTTCAGCTTACAAAACACAACCGGGCACAGCCGGGAAATCTATTCGAGAGGGAAGGGAGGCGCAGGCTCTTCGTCCGGGATGGGGGCCAGGCCGTATGATTCAGCATTGAAGTCCGGATCCCGTTCGGCGAGGATCGCATGGGTGGCCTCCCGGTCTCGCTTTTGGCCAGACATGAAGCCATAAGACCCAACCTGGGTGACCATTTCCTTCCCGTTGGGCTCCCGGTAGATGAACTTGAAGGCCTCCATCGTTACCTCCGGAGTGGATGTAATCACCCGGGCCGTCTCCTCCAAGTTCTCCCCCATCCATTGCTTGGCCCTGCCGGGGAACTCTCGCTCCTTCAGCTCCAAGTCCTCCATCAGCTTCAGGTTCTCTTCCTTCAGCTGGAGGGTCTCTGCCTTGGCCCTCCCGGCAATTGCTGAGAGATTGGCCATCTCATCAAGCTGCCGGGCTATCAAGTCATGCAGCTCCCGGTTGTGGGCCTCGACTCCTTTCAGCTTCTCCTCCAGCTGGAGTGACCGGGGAGGGGATTCCTCGGCAAGCCTCTCCAGGGTTTCAGGCCCAACCTCGCCCATCTGCAAAACGAAACGTACCGGTTAGTGCGACAGAAAAGTAACAAATTCAAGAGAATATACCGGGCGAATGTTACCACTTTCAGCTTTCGCCCCATCTTGACCCAAAGCTCCTCTAGTGATTCTGAAGCTGGGGCGTTTTCTCCCCTTCTCCTCTTAGCTAACGGATGGGTAGTGGCGGCGTGCTTGGTTCGAACTTTCCCCTTCCCCTTGTCCAAAGGAGGGTTTGCCGTGGTCCTCCCGGTCTGACCGGTCTTCCCGGTCAGAGGAGACCCCTCATCTGAATGGATCTCTACCGGTTCCTGTTGGACCGGTACAGTTTTGGGGGCGGAAGAGGAAGAACCACCGGTCTTCTTCGCCGGGATGTTAAATGCTCTGAAGTTCATCTCTGTAAAACAAGCGAAAATATAAGTACCTGAACTTGAACCGGTATAATAAAAGGAAGAAGAAGGAAGAGGAAAGAGAAGGTACCTGGGTGGCTGGGGCCCCCGGCCTCTGCAGTGTTGCCCGGGGTGGGTACCCCGTGCCCCGCTGCCTCATGAGCCGTAGGGGTACCCTCGCCACCCGGTTGGATCCGCCAGATCCAAGCCCCGTAGTGAAACATTTGCCCGGTGAACGGGTCCCCTCGGAGAAGCTTCTCCAAACTTTCTTCCAAGTCTGGAGTACTAGCCGGCTCGGTGTATTGCGGCTTCAGGATGTGGTCGCTCCACTCTAAGCCGGCCAAGTGAGACGTGGTGGGAAACTTTATAAAAACAAATTTTTCCTTCCACAGCCGGTTGCTTTGTGGAAGGTCAGAAATGAATTGGCGACCGTTACGGCCCTTGAAGTAGACATAGCCGTCGCAACCCGACTTACCGGGAAGGACTTCAAACAAATAAAGGAAAAAGCGAAGAGAAGGATCGATTTTGAGATGGGAGCAGATATTTACAAAAGCATTAAGAAAACGATGGGCATTGGGTGTGAGTTGCCCGGGGAGAATCTTGAAGCAGTGGAACAACTCGACTAGAAGGGGACGCAGGGGGAAGACGGTGCCACTTTCCAAAGAAATGATATGGAAACCTACCCTATCATCCCGGTGAGGCTCGATAATGTTGGGCCAACTGGGATCGTACTCAAGAACGTACCCCTCCGGGAGATTCCTACGGGCTTTGTTTTGGGCAATCTTAGAGACCCGGGGATAGATGTCGAGCGGGTAGCTGGAAGGGAGAGGAAAATAACCGGCTGCATCCAGCCGGTTCACCCATCTCTCATACGACTCGCTGTCATGGTCGTAGGGAGCCGGCTCATCGTCAACCGGTTCATCCCTCTCCTGAGAAACCTGACCGGGCATTTGGTTAACAGGTTTCGGTTCAGGGACGGTGGTGTTGGGGCCTGACCGGGTCTCGAAACTGGATAAAGAGGACCCGGTCGAAGAAGAGGAGGTTGAGGATTCCTCGGATGCGTAGGCATCTGAGGAAGAAATACCTTGACTATCATAAGAAGACATTGACCGGGAATGAAAACTAAGAGCTAATAAAGAAGAGAAGAGAGCTTACTTGGCTCGGAGGGCTGAGAGGCGAGAGAGAGGAGATTGACCGGTGAGACTCGGGAGACGCGCGAGGAAGAAGTGAGGAAGGCAATGGGGATGGAAGCCTTTATATAGGCGAGGAGGAAGGAGAAGGAGGCGACGTGGCTTCACCAGGGCGCACCGTGTCAGGCGGCGCCATCATTGCGCCTGGGAAGACGAAAGGGCGCAGGTCTGACGCCGTCCAGCAGGCCACAAATTTAAAAGTCAAAAATTCGAATTTAAAAGTCCAGTTTTAAATTTTTACTTCCCGCTTATGACAAAATTGCATAACCGAGAAGTGGAGGGCTTAATGATGGGTGTATTTCACCCATGACAAAATTCGAATTTAAAAGTCCAGTTTTAAATTTTTACTTCCCGCTTATGACAAAATTGCATAACCGAGAAGTGGAGGGCTTAATGATGGGTGTATTTCACCCATGACTGGTCAGAGATCAGAGCCAGATAGTTGACCGGTCAAAAAGGTCAAACTTGAGAGAAAGGTCCATATCGGCGGCAAAGAGACGACGGATCGACCGCAAAGTTGACCGGTATACTTCGGATAGTATACCGGTCAACTTACTCAAGTCTGTGGGACCAATTTCCGAAGTCCATTAATCAACCCACGATGACCAGCCGGGGTAGTATTTGAAGGTCGACGAGTGTCGGCAGAAAGGATCCAAAATGACTTGGACTGTAGTGGTTGGCATGGCTGAGATGCTGGAGGAATATTTCCAAGCCAGAACGTGACAAGGAGGGTAATCCCCCTCGCAAGATGACAAGGTGGCTCAGGGACAGTCATAACACCACATCAGCAGCATGCCCCCACGTGGGTGCACGTGGTCTTGTCCCCCCAGCTTAGTATATATACCTCATGTAACCCTCGAGGAAGGGGATCCGGATTCATTTCCTCTAAACTCCCTTGTAAAAGCACCCGTGCATTCTCCGTTATAATATAAATTGGGCCACAGGTGTTCCACCTAAAGTCCTACCGGTCAATCCACGAGTTTTTACCTTTCTTACTTTGCCAAATCAAGCAAACTATACTAGACCCGGTCTAGTATAGTTTGACCGGTCAAGTAATTTACACCATCAATAACGATATGCAGTGTGATTTTATTCTTTTTGACGGCCAACTTGGCAAAGAGAGCCTCGCAATAGAGAGGAGTTGTGGGGGAATGCATGCCAAAGGTGTGAAAAAGGAGAAAAGAGGAGAAAAAAGATACTCCTTGTCCCAAATTATAATGCATGTTCACTATTTACATGATCAAACTTCATTCACTTTCTTTCTCTATTTTCGTTAGCAATTTGATAAAATAAAGTACTATTGTCACTACTAGTTTTGTAGATCTTTTAATGTATTATTTTAATATGTAATTTTTATTTTTTAACTATTTACCATTTGTCATTGATGGGCCGATATCCAGAGGACGGCCCAAATGAACCATTTAAACAACTTCGGGTCAAGCGCCTGTGAAATACTCAAGCTGGGCCGGCCCAAGGAGCTGGGCCTAGTTAACCTCAGGCCAAGCGCAGCTGGCAGAGTCAGTCCGGAGAAGGAGACGGAGCTGATTGGCCGTTACGGAGCCGGGAAAAGGGGATCGCGCCCTTGGCGGGATAGATTCCATCGGTTATGCATTACCTTAATTGTTTAGAGCTTATGTATAAATAGAGGGGACCCGAAAGGGGAGAACTCAAGCTAAATCAACCTAGTAATACACATCCAATTCTCGAATTCTTGTTCTTAATTTTGTTCTTACGATCCGCTCTGTAAACCGGATCATTTGGTGGATTTATTGTCCATCAGATTGGTGCTCTCGTTGAGAGTTCGAGAATCATACTAAGAAGAAATCCTCCACAACGACGATGGTGCAAACACGTAGCAACGCCAACGTAGGTATCGGAGTTCCCCAACAAGGGGAGAACAGCGCCACCGGAGGCCGACACCCCCCATCACCACTGGGGAGGCTGAGGCCCTCATTCAGAGGGTTGGGATCACGGCCGAACAATTCAAGGAGGTGCTGGCCGCACTTACGCCCAACCGCGAGGTTGTGGTAGGAGATGTGGTTGGGGGACCCACAGGCGAGAAGGCTGGACCTGGAGGCTCCCAAGGAAAAAATAAAAAGTGAGGCGGTCCCAAAAGAAGAAGGCGACCAAGCCTAATGGGAAGGCTATGATGGCAGATGCGCTTTCCAGGCTAGAAGAAGAGGACGAGTCGTCCTCCTTCGAGCGGATGTCTGCTTTTGACCGTTTGGGAGACCCCAAGTCGAAGAAACCACGGACCTCTGCGTTCGAAAGGCTGCAGGACACTCGGCCGGCCCGAAAAGGCGACTTGAGAGACACGCTCAAGGAGAAGAGAGGGGAGTCCACAGCGACCTCCAAGGTCGGTTCTGAGGAGCGACGGACGATAGTCGGGGATAAGGGCGCAGCCGAGCTGTGGAAAATGTACGAACAACTGGAGAAGCGGCTGTATGCCCAGAACCCCTATCGCCAGGCGGTCTTCAGTGAGGTAACGCCCTTCTCCAGAAGGATAATGTCCTGCCCTCTCCCAGATAATTTCAAGACTCCCCAGATCAAGGCATACAACGGGACGACCGATCCCCAAGACCACCTCGCTCGCTTCGGGGCCAACGTGGTCATGTATGCATATCTAGAAGAAATCAAGTGTCGGTGCTTCCTGGCGACACTGGAAGGGCAGGCTTGTGAGTGATTTCACAAGTTACCCAAGGGGTCGATAGATAAGTGGGGCGAACTGGCCCACATGTTCTTGGAGCACTTCGCATCCAGCCGGAGACAAAAGCTCCCCTTCTCGCATTTGCTCAATGTGAAGATCCGGAAGGGGGAACAGCTCCGGGAGTTCATTAATAGGTGGGAGAAGGAGGCTAGGGATGTCCAAGGGGCGGACGACCAAGCCCTGATCGCCATGCTCCAAGCTGCACTCCCCCAAGGGGATGTGCGTAAGGAG